GAAAAGCTGAAATGCCCACTTTCAGCGGTGATTAAAACATCACTCTCATGGAAACAAAATGAGTCCGGCATATTCATCTCTACTGGCGGGGAGAGAGAGCTGTGTGATAACAAAATATCTGTGTAGATTTCATCCTGGTAGACGTCTGTCACCTCATCATCACTCATACCATGTTCACCATCATCATCATCTTCACCATCACGATGCAAATTCTTCCTAAAACCCTCTGCATTTATTTCTTCATGAAATCTGTTTTCATGCACACCTGCAACGCTGTCCACAAAAACTCTCATGGCTTCTGGGGATTTACCAGCTGAGCAGACTATTCTTCTTGTTCTCCTGGTCTTTATATCTTTCAATGGTGTTGTTACATCCTCTTTCTTGTCTTCTTTCTTTCCTCTTTTCAACCCCGGCGGCCTTCCTCTTCTGGCAGTTTTTGTTCTGGAACTCTCATTACTTTTCTCAAACAAATTCTTCCAGTCTGCTTCTCCAGACGCTGTTTTGACTGTCAGGGCCAAATCTTGATCCTCACAAAGGTCATGAGATTCAACGGCTGAGCAGACTATCTTCCTAGTCTTTATATCTTTCAATGGTGTTGTTACATCCTCTTTCTTTCCCCTTTTCAACCCCGGCTGCCTTCCTCTTCTGGCAATTTTTGTTTTGGAACTCTCTTTACTTTTCTCAACCAAATTTTTCCAGTCCTCCTCGCTGTCTGCTTCTCCAGATACTGATTCGACTGTCAAGGAAACATCTTGAGCCTCACAAAGTTTATGTCCGCTTTCCCTCTCTCCCCGATTTATCTTTAGTCTATCACACACATTATCCACAGCTGGGTTACTCTTGACTTTTTTCTTTTCTTTTAAGAGTTTTCCATTTGTGTCAATGACTTCACTTGTAGACTCCATGGCTTCTTGTATCTCAGAGCCATCACTGATGACATTTTTAAATTCAGCCTTACTGCCATTTTCCTTTTTGCTCTTTTTCCGGACAACTTCTGGTTCATTTTTCTTCTCCACCAGCTTCGACAACCTAGAAGTTCTTGGAATTTTTGACAACCCTGTTTTTACTTTACTTACAGCACCATCTACCTCCTGTAACTGTGGTACTGTCCTTGATTTTGAAGACTTCAATCTTTCCCCTGTAGACTTCTCTATGTCGTTTAGGCCCTTGAGAAGAGAATCTTTCAAACAAGGGGACTCTACACCAATGTTGTCAATGCTGTAAATGTTCTGTTTCTCACTCAACACAACCCGAGGCTTCTTTGCAGAGACTGCCTCAACATCTGAATATATGCTGTATGTGCTTTTGCACTTCTTCGCACTCTGACTGGATAGTACTTCTGCTTTAATTTTATTCTGTTTAGACGATATTTTTGTTTTATCATCATTCAGGATGCATATTTTTGACTTATTTCCCCTCTTCCCGGATACTTGCTCTGTTTTGTCTCCATTCTCATTTAACAATGTTGTTTCACCTCCAACCTGACTGGACACCATTTTACTATTCTCTCCATTCTCATTGGATGCTATTTTTATTTTTCCTTCATTCAGATCAGAAGCAGCTGTTGTCTGTCCAGATTTCTTGTTCATAATTGTTTCCTGTGCTAAAGGTGAACCAGCCGGGCTCTCAAGAACATCTGGCAAATTAAGCCACAAACGGCGCTTCTCATCCCATTGTTGTTTCTCCTTTTTAGCCACACGAACAGCCATTTCAATGACACCACTGTCATAAGCAACATCGTCCTCTTCATCTCTTACCTTCACTCGCAGCACAGGCAGATAAACCAAGTGAGACTTCAATAACAAGGCTGAAGCCACTAGCACATTTGAATTATCCCTCCCTCTCATTTTCTTCCCTTCTCTCTCGACCACACTCAACAAATTTTCGATTTCACGAACTCCTTCGCTACCATTTATTTCACCACCATCATGACAGCATAAGTCCTGCCATTTCACTTCTGCTAGTTTGTAGACAGCATCGACAGCAGGCAGATGGTCTGTACTGACTTCTACAGGCAGAAGTTTAATGTCCATGCTACTGTCAGTGAGCACACTTTTCCCGGCATTTTTACGTTGTGATCGTCCAATCGAGGGCATAACAGAATCAATTGCAGAATGGATGGTGCTGGTTACTGACAACATATCTCCTTTGTTTCTCCAGAGAATCTGCAGACACAAACAAAAATTGTTCAACTTTCAGCAAGTCAACTAATTCAAAAGAGACACAATTCCATGCACACATGAAAAAAACTCAGTTACTTTAACCTTTAGCACCCCACAATAAAAATTCAAATTATTTCCCTTGCCTCCCACCTTATTTTTTTCAGATTTTGCGTTTTTTATGGAGGAAACACGAAAAACACTATAACTTTTTGGTTTATGAATAATTTGGCATAATTATTTAAACTGAAATAAACAAATGATTTCTGCATACATCGATATGAGTTTTGTTGGTGTATGTTTGATAGGTGATGTGTGAGGACAGAGTGAAATGGGAAAAATGTAAAAAAACAGTACAAACATAAAGACTCACCAATTAGTAATGCATCTCCACGTATTCCGTATCTCTAAGAATCTGACACACTGTAAACATAACTACCTTCACCTACTTCTCCAGACATATCAACATCGCGACTGATATCGGCTGCATGAAAACACAAAATCTAATCGTCAGAGTCAGAATCCATGAAGATTTCAGAAAAATTAAATTCCATTTCGAAGGATGGTGATGGATATCGAACTGGCTTATAAAAATTGAGCCAACAAGCCCATTCGCGGCCATTACAGGAAGTTAAACCACTGTAGAATAGTTATTTATAGTTTTCAAGTGACGTCAAACGCATAGCTTCGTTTAGTTGGGTATTTTCCCGACCATATAAGGTTGTCGACTATACTCGACTGTGGGGTGCTACGGGATAAGCGGCGGAAGTCCAGTATACTCGACTGTGGGGTGCTAAAGGTTAAGCACCTTGTACAAGACTTTTTGTTCAGGATTTTCTGTATTTTGCTTGATACTTATATTTGTGAAGATTGCTATATGAACATAACATGCTTCAAAGATAAAATACAATTGCATTGGGAAAGAAAGACAAGAGGGCCTGCATGCCCAATTTGTGAGCCTTTACAAATAAAGTTAATTTGTTGGTTTACTACCTTGACAAAGACGTTATCTGCCATAAAATTGTCTGAAAATGAAGCAGCAATATTTGTGCACAGGGTGTAACAGCTGTTTATGATGGCAGACTGTGGAGAACCATGACTGCCTTTGCCAGTCGGCAAGGTAACTGATAACGTTGATCAAGGCGTAGGCGATCATTTCTGCCACAAGGATGAACAATGAAGAAAAACCCTTCCTCCCTCCCCAGCAACTCAAAACCCCACCACTGCTGACATGGAATGAAGTGAGATTACCTCGGCTTGTGAGGACATCAGATCAGCACACAGCTGGGCCACCTCTGGCTGGAAGCATCTACCACAGGTGCCAGGGTAAGCCACAACCTTGAAGTCTTCATCCACTTTTTCATCAGAACTGCCCAGGAGTTCTGTCCTGTTAGTCAGCAATTGACTTCTTAGATCAGAACCTGCAGAAAGTAGATCACACTGGTAATGCATGCACTAATGTTTGTTCTCTTATCACGAACAGGGATTAATTTGTGCAGTTTTCTTCTTTGTGTTCCCTGGGACATTAATGATACAGGTATTGAGGTGGACTTATTTTTTTTTGGGGGGGTGGGGGAAATGCCATGGGCCGTGTTGTGTGGAGGGGGCACATCAGGAAGGGAATGAGAATGAAGAAAGAAATTATTGCAGAAAGGATGATAGCTGAGCCTCCGAGAAGAAATAGACTAAACACAAATGTTAACAACAACAGTCCTGAAATTCCATGCTTTAATTGTGGAAGTCTTTTCTTAACGTGGGCGGGTCTTGCTAGTCACACTCGCCATCGCCATGGGCTGAGTCCCATGCCTCCTCATAGCGCAATATAACACTATAGGGTTAGGTTCACGTTAATCTCCCCAAATAGAGTAGGTCAGTTTTTACTCACAAGTTTGTTGGGCTGATCGACTTTCCTGCAGGTTACGGGTGTGTCCTGCTCTGTTGTTTGCTTTCTGTGATGTCTTGCATTTACGTTTTCATTCCGAGAAAGAGAATGCCTGTGACATAGGTTGCAGCACTCTCTAGGAGGGTTGTGTTAGGACTAGTTTGTCAATGTTTTTGGAGTGTTAAAAGCGCTGGCGTGCTGAAATATACGACACGCGATTTCAATTGCACTGTGGAACACCCCCATAACCTTGTGCCAAGGTGACAGGTTCAGGAACTACCAATCAGAAGTGAGCTAGTGTGTTTATAGGCGGGGCGTGGGGAGACCAACGTTACTTTTACCCACTACAGTCTGGAAAGATGGATAGGTGCCAATAATCATGAAAAGATAACAAACCAAACAAAAAGTAGAAACAGTTAGCTAAAATGAAAAAATACAAACGACAAGTGAACATTGCAGCTAGAGAGCCTTCATCAGCACATTACATAAATCTATAATGCCACAACATTTACATAAATCCATAAGACCACAAGTATGAACAAACACAAAAAAATCACTTGAATGACATATCTCAGATATAAATCACATTTCAGTAGAATGTGTGCAGGCACCTGAAAAAAACACTGGCAAGAAAATACTGCAAGGGACAAGGGTCGTAACTCAAAAAATATTAAATAACACTATTGGATGTTTATCAACATTTAGTACAGTGTACATGGCAAAGGGGCATAACCTCTCTGCAATGGAGAGCCTCATATGTAAATTAGTTAACTGACCAATCATCCTCATGGCACAACAGACCAATCGGATGGGATTCCAGTAAATTGATGCAACATTAAATTTTGCGGGTGTGTAAAAATATCTACCAAAGTCCAGGAGTGGACAAACAGACCAGAACTTTGCCTCGGAGTTCACAGCCACTGAACGCAAAGGAAAAACAAGTAACTAAACCGACTTACCATTGGTTTTACAGCTGCAGGGACACGGCTGCTGGTCACCGACAACAGCACCAGTCACAGCAGCACTTGTGTCAAACATGCGCGACAGATCGTCACTGGTGAGAGCACTTGCTGCGCTCTTGCCGTCGACATATTTCAGCTCTGTACTGTTGACTGCTAACTTGTGCTTCTTTAATAAATTTACAGCACTCTGAAAGTAAGCAATAACTGAGTGATTTTTGTTCAGTGAAACTGTTAATGGAGGGAAGCGATAGAAGGAAATGATAGGCGTGGGTTTGGGGGGTTGGGTGAAGAGAAAAAGAGAGAGAGAGAAAGAGAGAAAGGGAGAGAGAGATTATGTAGAGAAAGAAAAAAAAAAAGAGAGATCACGGAGAGAGATTAAGAGAGTCCCAGGAACGAGAGATAGAGTTCAGAGAGAGAGACCTAGAAGAAAGAGAAACGCAGCTGCGCCGATTTATTACTAAAAAAAAAAAAAAAAAAATCACCACGGATTGAAATTAACAGCAAATTACAGGAACATAGATTAATTTGTGTAGTCTTCTTCTTAACTGGCTGTACACTCCAGCAGAACGTTGTGGTTGTTTATCCATTTCTGGACTTTGAAGGAGTCTCCTATTGAGTCAACTCTTATGACATGCTTGTAAGGGAGGCAATGGGTATGTTCTTTATAACCCCCATAACGAGGTCCCCAGAACCCACACGGGGGGTAATTTGTTGGGAACAAGAGGGGACTATGCTGTTTACTATGTAGAGCAGTGATTCCCAAACTGTGACCTCTTCCCAGGGACGCCACAAAGTATTCGACGATACACAAGTTTTATTTTGTATCTCTTACATTCAAATAGTCAGACTTTTAATTATTTAGGGCGCAGCGGACAATTTTTAATTGAAAAAAGGCACTGGGACTAGGACAAGTTTGGGAAACCACTGATGTAGAGAATTTCAAACGGAACATCTTTTTAGCATTCACCGGCTGTACAAATACCTGCAGGAGGTACTCAAAAACTACATATCAGCAACGGTAAAGATGCTGTAATGCTGACTGTCATTAGACGAAGTTCCAGCTTCACTGCAAACGGGTAATCCCACAATTATTCCTGTAGAAATTATACAAAATGTCCAGTTTGAAAACTAGTGAAAGACATAATTTCCCAGGAAATCTTGAAGTCCTCACATGAAAAATATAGTAATTAAAAAAAAAAAGATTTTTAATTAAAAAAATATATATAGATACTGTTAATAAATTCAAACGCTCTGATACAAAATAAAGACACTGTGATTAAAAAAATAGATGCTTTAATAAAAAATATAGACACTAATAAAAAAAAATTTATGTAAGAAAAAACATAACGCTGTTGTTTAAAAAACAGTTTGTTGGGTATCCCTTACAGGACTTTGCAGAACCAAACGCAGAATGTTCTGCGTTCCACTAGTAATTTTACATTCAGTAGACTGCCATTGTTTTATAGAATTAGTAAAACAGGAGAACAGCATAACTAGAATGTCTTTGCATTGGAACCCACCCGGCATAGGAGAAAAGGAAGACCAAAAAACACCTGGAGAAGAGAGCTGGAGAATGAAGTTAGAAAGATGGGGAGGACATGGGGAGAGCTCCATGCAATGGCGAAGGAAAAAAACGACTTGGCGTGAGTTTGTAGAGGGCCTATGCTCCATTGGGGATAGAAAGGCAGAAGAAGAAGAAAAAGAAGACTGCCATTGCTTCCTGAACGGCGAGCTCTCAACATTCCCAGTCAAAACCAACGCTGGACGATTTGCTACAAAAAAGCCCGCTGCTGGTATCGAACCTGGTACCCCGGATTTACCAAATGCGCTCGCTATGCCTAAAGCACAGACACCGATTAAAACCAACATATACACCATATTACCTGCAACAAGACGTCTGCTTCTGATGTTGTATCATGATACAGCAGAGACAGCTTCAGCAGGCAAACAGAGAAAATAGCACACCTGGAATACAACAAACAACAAAGGGTTTATTAGCCTACCCTCCTTGATGATTGGACCACATACCAGAATCAGACAGACATGTACTGATTGGCACTCATAGAACAAAATAAAAATAGAAGGACTAGAGCAGTGTTCTTCAACCAGTAGGCCGTGAAAAAGTCCAAGTGGGAACTAAAAATTTACACCTAATTGTGTAACGGGATAAGGAAGGTATTTTTTCTTCTTCCAGGAATTCAGTCTGGAGGAATAACACCTCAAATTTGAGAATCAAAAGACGTCACATGGGCTGGAAATGGTAATTTTGTGACACCCGATTGAACAATTAAACTGCTGTCTACGTGTGTTTCTGTGTTTGTTTAATTGCCAAGTGGGCTGCATACCGGCTTAAATTCTTCCAGGAACACTGCACTAGACAATGTCAGGAACACTGCACTAGACAATGTCAGGAACACTGCACTAGACAACGTTTAAAAACAAAACAAAACAGAAAAGAAAGCTATTGCTGCCATCTTGAGAAAGAAACCTTTCGCCTCCAAATGACGACAGCGCCTCGCTCAGGAATTTATGGCCTAGGTTTTCATCTTTCATAGATGCTTGTTTGCCACAAAGAAGGTCTTGCATTTGATTGTGCATATGCCCATGTAGGTTCCAGGGCCCCTTTGGGAAAGGGGGGGGGGGGGGGGGTGCAGGGTTGGAAATAGACCCACTGGCCCCTAAGAAAAAGCATGCAGCACAAGACGACTACCTCTTCGCGTTCACTAGCTCTAAACTCTGGCGGAAAGTTCGGAGTGTTCATCCAACTCCAGACTTTAGTCTTGTTCCAGAACCTGAATGTTGCATGCACATCTGGCTTTAATATGCAGACTCTTGGTTCCTTGCCTCTCAGGCAGATGTACTCCAACTTCACAGAATGCCCCCAATTAGTGGACTCCTATGACATGCTTGCTAGGGAAGCAGTGAGTCTAGTCTTGTTTCCCCCACAATGGGGTCCCGGAACCAACAGGGGGAGTACAAAGTAACTGTTTGGGGACGTCTCCTTTGAAAAGCCTGAGAGGTGTGGAATCAAAGTCTGCATACAAATATGTCATATCTGTAAAATGGATGTGCACACACAACTCAAGTTCTGAATCAAGACCAAAGTCCAGGAGTAGACGAATAACCAGAACTTTCCACCAGAGTTTACAGCCTGTGAATGTGAAGAAAACAAAGAAGAAGCAGAAGAAAGAGGAGGAGAAGGAAAGATTATGCATAATGGTACATTATTATAATTGACACAGGGCCCCTAGTGCACTTAGACTAAAACAGGGACTAGGAAATCTCTGGGGAAATAAAGGTGGCTGGCATGTATATTGCCCTATCATTCATCAGGTACCAACTGATCTATAAATTATGGGTCCTGCAGCATTGACCAGTGACGCATCAAGGATACTTTACTTTGAAAAAGTAAGGGCATTTTTCAATCTTTTTTCCCCTGGGTGTCAAGCTAGTCACGACTTGTAATCAACTTGTTCCCTGAGAGATGTTGTCGTCATTTGGAGGTGAAAGGTTCAAATTCTTAACAACAGCTTTTATTTTTGTCTAGTGTGTTTGTCTAGAATACATGATAAAAACTAGACAGGATATAAACTCCAGCCACATACAAGTCGGTAATATGAAAATCAAACAAACGGAAACATGTAAGTACTTGGGTCAAAACCTACAACAGCTCCAACATGCTGAGAGAAGAAATACAATCTAGAATACAACTTGGAAATAAAGTATACTAAGCCCTTTAACATCTGCTAAAGTCAAAGTGTCTGTCTTGCAACACCAAGATCAATATATATAAAATGTTGTTAAGACCAGTTGTTTTATATCGCTCTGAAACTTGGAGCACAACTAAAAGAGATGAAAGCTTATTACAGGTTTTCAAAAACAGAATCTTACAGTGAATCTCAGAACCCATCAAAGATACAAACAGCCGTGAATAGAGAGTGAAAAGCAACAACAAAATTTATAATCCCTTTCCATCACCACTGATCACTGGCATCATGAGAGCTAAAAGACTAAAATAGCTGGGATATTTTGAAAGAATGTCACATCACAGAGAAGTAAAAACTGTATACACGAGGAGAATAAATGGTCGTAGACCACGAGGCAGACCAAGAAGATGATGGAGAGATAATATCCAAACAGACCTGCAAACACCTGGTGTCACCAACTGAAAAGAGAGGGCCAACCAGAGAGATGAATGGAGGCGGGTGATATCTGCAGCAATGAACCTCAAAAGCTTGAAATGCTGAAGGAGAAGAAGTGTACGTCTAGTGTATCTCATGTATACAGGTGCCAACATTGTGGAACATGAGAATTAACACAGGCCAGAGACCCGATCTACAGCATAGACCGATCATTAACTGGCAGGTGATCCGCGGGCCACATGCTGCCTCTGGCCTAAATAGCACTGCTTTACACTCTAAAGCAGAAGAGGAACGATGAAGAAGACAACTCAAGAATGGCACCAAAGTAACTCTGATTTCTCTTCTGTCTATTGTATATCCTCTTTATGTCCCTACTTTTCTGCCTGTGGTATCACGCTGCATTCCTTCATTTCCCTGTCTGCAGTCCTTCCCTGGGTATCTCTCCCCAACATATTAGTCTTTCACCTTTTACCCTGGCCACTGCTCCACAAAAGCAGCCTAATAAATACTGACTTAGTAATATTTTACAAAACTGTGGTCCAAACAGGCAACTCACCAGGTGACAAGCAAGCATTTCCTGGCCATTGTGAGGCCCTCTGTGAAGTAGGTCTTGGCATGTTTGACATTGCCAGTGTGTAGGCACAGATTTCCGTACTGCTTGATGGACAGCAGGTATTCATGGATAACTTGCCAAAACTCCAGTGAGGGTTCTGAAATGGGAAATAATTAATTATTTATTATGTGTTACAGGGCACAAAAACAAAAAGGAAAGACATTCCCTTTGGTAGACATACAGGGAAAGACATTCTACTTGGTAGACCAGACAAGGAAAGACACTGCACCAGTCAGACATACAGTTGAGTCTGGATAAATAGAAGTTGCAGGGACCTAAGAAAATGCATTCACTTATCACAATTTCTACTTATCCAGACAGCACACACAATAGAGAAAAAATTGCCAAGACTTAGCTGGTCATGTCGACTTAACCGAAATTCAACTTATCCGAGTTCGACTTAAGTGGACTCGACTGTATAAGGGAAAGACATTTCACCGACAGACTTGGAAAGACATCCCACTTGGCAGACATAAAGGGAAGAAAATTTCACCCGACAGACAGTCATTACATTTTACAGACCTAAAAAGTCATCCAACATGAAAGACAGAAAAAGACATTCTACTTACAGACATGGCAGGAAAAAAAACACATCCCACTTGACAGACATGAAAGGGAAAGACATCTTGTTTGACAGACATAAAAGTAAAAGGCAATCCACTTGGTAGAAATGACAGCATAGAAAGACATTCTACTTGGTAGACATGACAGTGAAAGACATTCCACATGACAGTGAAAAGACATTCCACTTGACAGACATGACAGTGAAAGACATTCCACATGACAGTGAAAAGACATTCCACTTGACAGACATGACAGTGAAAGACATTCCACTTGACAGACATGACAGTGAAAGACATTCCACATGACAGTGAAAGACACTCCACTTGACAGATATGACAGTGAAAGACATTCCACTTGATAGACATGACAGTGAAAGACATTCCACATGACAGTGAAAGACATTCCACTTGACAGACATGACAGTGAAAGACATTCCACTTGACAGACATGACAGTGAAAGACATTCCACATGACAGTGAAAAGACATTCCACTTGACAGACATGACAGTGAAAAGACATTCCACTTGACAGATATGACAGTGAAAGACATTCCACTTGACAGACATGACAGTGAAAGACAATTTACTTGACAGACATGACAGTGAAAGACATTCCACTTGACAGACATGACAGTGAAAGACATTCCACATGTCAGTGAAAGACATTCCACATGACAGTGAAAAGACTTGACAGATATGACAGTGAAAGACATTCCACTTGACAGACATGACAGTGAAAGACATTCCACATGACAGTGAAAGACATTCCACATGACAGTGAAAAGACATTCCACTTGACAGATATGACAGTGAAAGACATTCCACTTGACATACATGACAGTGAACAGGCATTCCACTTGACAGACATGACAGTGAAAGACATTCCACTTGACAGACATGACAGTGAAAGACATTCCACATGACAGTGAAAGACACTCCACTTGACAGATATGACAGTGAAAGACATTCCACTTGACAGACATAACAGTGAAAGACATTCCACTTGACAGTCATGACAGTGAAAGACATTCCACTTGACAGACATGGCAGTGAAAGACATTCCACATGACAGTGAAAGATATTCCACTTGACAGACATGACAGTGAAAGACATTCCACTTGACATACATGACAGTGAAAAGACATTCCACTTGACAGATATGACAGTGAAAGACATTCCACTTGACAGTGAAAGACATTCCACTTGACATACATGACAGTGAAAAGACATTCCACTTGACAGACATGACAGTGAAAGACATTCCACTTGACATACATGACAGTGAAAGACATTCCACTTGACAGACATGACAGTGAAAGACATTCCACTTGACAGTGAAAGACATTCCACTTGACAGACATGACAGGCAAACATCCACACATGCTCTGACTCCTCTCAGAAAATTTCAGACTGTATAGATGCTTGTTAAGTCCCAAGAGTGCACCAATTAACTAGGCTGCTCCTATACAGGTGTTTAACTGCTACTGCAATAAATGATCAAAAAACAAAACAAAAAAAAAGTTAAAGTCAAGAGGATCGACTTCACTGCACTGGGTTTTCATCGCATATGGCTCGGTCTCTCTCGGCAGAACAGCTAGCCATCTGCCCAGAGCATTGCACAGAGCACGAACTCTGAAGCTCCAGCGACAATCCCCAGGATTCTTCAGTAAAAACTGCACTCGTAAACTGTGGCCCACTATGCAATGAACCAACAACTTTCAGAGCGCGAGGCAAATGGCTTGACCACTTCGCCACGGCAACAAATGTACAAAATTGACACCATGTAAGGCTAAACAAGAAAGAAGGAAAACTTACTTTTGCTTCCAGAACTTTGGAAATCCTCTCCAAGGTTAAACGCTACAACAGTCTTGATGTTCTTGAGTGATTCTCCGGCCAGCTCTAGAGGATGGCTCTTGTTATCAAAGCTGCTGTCTGGAGACATAGATGTATACAGCATAAGTAAAGATTGTATCATGGAAAGATACAAAACCGAACGAAAAGTAGATCTATAGAACAAGCACAAACGAAACGTGAATGTTGCAGCTACAAAGCCTTCCTCAGCACATACATAAATCAAACAAAACCAAACGAACATACAAAAATAAACTTAACTGAGGTATCTAGATGCAGCCATGTAGATGTCTTACCAGTGTAATGGAGAGACATGTTGTTGCTGTTGTTCAACCTCACCAGGACCGTACAAGAAAAGATTGTCAGTGGCGTAACTCTTATGCCCAGTGTGTCTTCAGAAATGATCTTTTTCTTCAAATTTCATTTTTCTTTTTTAAATTCTCACATTTCTTTGAAACTCTACCCTTGCAATGTGGCAAGAGAGGTCCCCGGTTCAGATCCCGGACGAGCTCCCAACTTGCAATTTGGCTCTGTCTAGACTAAATTCGTCACACTGCGATACTGATATTCTTAGTTACATAAAGGTTACTAGGAATACACCAGACAAGGAATCCACCAGACAACGAACACTCAGTTAGTGATCTTTATTTGCTGTTCCAACAACCGCACTGTCCAGTTGCTCACTTGTGTTCTCATGGTTGCTACGCATGGCTGATTTATGACAACATTTCCAACTATCTCTCACAGAGATTTATCTTTCAGATCATACATCTGGATCAGGCTAACATCTCGTTCCTTGTACCCGTATAGTCGAAACACATAGTCAGCAGACATTCATTTCTGCTCTCAAACAATTACACGTGGTCAGACGGTCTGCATTCCAAGCTTTAACTGATCCTATCCTCCCTGGGTTCATACCTTTCGTTCAAGTCTCACTTTCTCCTCATATCCCTATTCACTCACCACGGGGTACTCAAGACAAGCTTTCCACACCTTTGTCTTGTTTCACTGATCCTCTGACCTTATCCCCCCAATCAGGAACTCCATGGGATTTTCCCAGGAATTCACACCATTACAACCCTAATAAACTAGAAATGCAAAGTCTTGGTCAGCTTTTAAAAATATACTGGAGGTTGAACCCCTAAATCAATAAGTGGACAGGCAGGCATAAAGTCCTTGGCTTCTTTGATGATGTACACCACCTCATGGCTCACTGCAAAGCTCTACAATAGTGATTCTATCACACAAGTTAATTCTCTTTACTCAGCACAGGCATGCTCTAATCTTCTTCTTTTTCGAGTTCACAGGCTGTAACTGGACATTGCAGTCTTGTTCCGGAACGTAAGTGTTGCGTGTACAACCATTTCACAGATCTTACTTATGTGTATGCAGATTGTTGGTTCCATGCCTTTCAGGCAGATGCACTCGGACTTCAAAGGAAGCCCCCAGTTAGTCGACTCTTACCACATGGTTGTTGGGGAGACAGTGGGTCTATCTTGTTGTCCCCACAATGGGGCCCCGGAACCCATACAAGAAGCATGCCCTACTAAACTGAAAGTTTGTAGTTTATTCCTAACTGTTAAAGTATTTCTTCATGTTTCAGCTCCATACAGCAGCACTGATTCAATATTAGAGCTAAGGAATATAAGTTAGGTACAAATTTAAATTTCCTGATTTCCACTAATTTCCTAGTGTCATGAAAAAGGTGCTAGATTTACCAGAAAGCTGATGGGAAAACAAAGACAAAGGAAGTCGATAAAGCAAGGGAAAGGTGCTAGATTTACCAAGCAAAAAGCTGATGGGAAAACAAAGACAAAGGAAGTCGATAAAGCAAGGGAAAGGTGCTAGATTTACCAAAACGCTGATGGGAAAACAAAGACAAAGGAAGTCGATAAAGCAAGGGAAAGGTGCTAGATTTACCAAGCAAAAGAAGTCGAAGAGGCAATGAAAAAGGTGCTAGATTTACCAGAAAGCTGATGGGAAAATAAAGACAACAGAAGTCGAAGAGGCAATGAAAAAGGTGCTAGATTTACCAGAAAGCTGATGGGAAAATAAAGACAAGGAAAGTCAATCAGACACAATGAAAAGGAATATGGAATTCAATGAGACATGAATCATGTATGACATAGCCACAGTGCCAACCTCCTTCAGGGACTCCAGTGGAACCAGGCAAGGACTGAAACTCTGCATCGAGCCTGTTGATGATAGCCAGGGCTGTGTAGATGCTGCAAGTACGGAGTCCTTTCCTTCGGCTGTCCTCAATCATCTGGGCTGCAAGATTTCTAGCCAGCACAAATTTCTCCAGCTGAGACAAGAAGGGAAATGGTTGCAGAGTTAGTATGGGAAAAAACTTGAGTATATAATGACAGAAGCAAAAGAAAATCACATAAATGCAAAATTCTAAAAACGAGTTTGGTATCAACATTGTCATCATATTTTTTCAAAATAAACTGGTTTTCTACTTGTTTCTGTCTTTCAACTCAAAATAGAGAACAGGCCCTCAATCAAATCAGACCAAGTACTTTGAGGAGTCTGTCCTGTTCAGCTGAATTTAGCAGCTAAAGATTTCTATAGGATGAGCTAGCCAATCTTATACTAATTGTTCTCTGACATCTCATATCTAACACATGGTGAGACACTGTGTTAATATTCAGAATAATCTCAAAGTCTTATTTCCAACTTA